AGAGAGAGAGAGAGAGAGAGAGAGAGAGAGAGAGAGAGAGAGAGAGAGAGAGAGAGAGAACATATATGTACACATATACATACATACGTGTATATACATATATGATTGTATACGAGCAATTTTTTTCATTTCTTTAAATTTTGCTTTTCCTAAAAAAAAATAATGCAAGAATTATTTTTCTAATTATTTTTCAATTATTCTTCTTATTATTTTTTCGGTGCACTCGAACACAGATTATACAAAAGAAAGAAAACATATATAAACATAAATTAAATATAAAAGTAAGACTCTAAAGATAAAAATCAGTTAAGCATGAGATACAATTGAGATACAATTGAGATTTTGTTTGTAATAAACTTTTATGCGCTGTGCTCTCATTGCCATTGTATATATCATGCTTAACTGATATATAAACATATTTTATTATATTTATATTTGATTATATAAATTTTTTGGGTAAATATACATAATAGGTCACACCTTACCGATTTTATCGCCATTTGGATATGTTATAAGGGAGATTGTTCTGAATAATTTTGTGCAAAAATCAAATGGTGAACGGCATTAGTTTAGGAAATATAACAAATTAAAATTTGACCATCTTAATATTTTTCTTTATATATTATGAAATAATAGGAAGAATGAAGTTTGTGTACGTCGTACTAATGTATTTGTCATTTTCTAACTAGAAAAAGTTTTGTTTACAATCATTGCAAAGTGAATGCATGGAGGAGAGGCTCTGCATCCCCGCCCCGAAAAATTCTAACCTAACGCAAACCAATTTCTATTTTTTGAATAAAAATTAGATTTGCATTTGGTCAGTTTTTTTTGCGGGGGGAGGGTGGAGATGCAGGGGGAGAGGCTTTGCCTCTCGCCCACGCTTAAAAGTCGTAAACAGACTTTCGTTGAAAAAACAATAGATTAGTACAGCGTAAACTTTACTATACTTGCAGCAAAATTTTGCTGTCAAATTTCAATTTGTTATATCTCCTAAACCAATGTAATATCCCACTTGATTTTTGCAGGAAATTATTCAGAAAAAATACTCTCCTCTATAATGTATCTAAATGGCCATAAAATCGGTGAGGCGCGATCTATTATGCATATTTACCATTTTTTTCTAACACCAAATTGCTTTATATAGAAAGTTATTAGAGATATGAAAAAAGAGACACGCGCGATATATATGTATAATTAACCGCTTCTTACATATCCGTGACATTAACTCGACGGAAGAATTTTATTAAATATAACGAGTTATATTATATAATTAAAAATAAAAGTATATTAAAAGTTTAAATTGCATAAAAACAAGCGTTTTTAATGAATTAATTTTCTTCTATATTAATATCAATTATATAGATGTATACACGTTACATCCTATTATTTGATAGGTATAATGATGGAGATAGGTAGAGGTACTATTAGAAGCATCGTGTGTAACGAGAATTTAATAGTAGATGTTGTACCTGTCGACTTTGTTGTCGATACCTTAATATGCGCTTCTTGGTATAACGCAATGCAACATATTGATACGATAAGGATTTACAATTGCACCAGCAGCGCACTGCATCCGATCACGTGAGTATTTGTGAGAAACTGGAACAAACAATAAAACAATAAAAAAAGATATGATTTTTTGCAGATGGCGCAAATTCGGACATCTTACGAAAAAGCACGCCATAGAGTCGCCATCGAAACATGTGATGTGGTATCCAGGTTTTACATTTAGAACAAACAAATTTAGTCACGCTATCATGGTAATTATGTTACACTTCTTACCTGCGTTTATCGTAGATCTTGTATCAAGGGTCCGAGGTTACAAACCTAAGTAAGTGCTCTCTCTCTTTCTCTCTGTCTAAAAAAAAAAAAAAAATGTGTTGGTAATAACATTTCGACGCATCATTTTTTTCAGAATGGTGAAAATGACTAAACGCTTCGAGCGCTTTGCTAAAACCGGAGAGTTCTTCGCGATAAACGAGTGGAAATTCAGCGCTGATAACATGAGGAAACTAGTGAAATCCGTAAAAGCGTCGGGGCATCGTAACGACTTCAATGTAGATATCAGAAGCTTGGATTGGGACACGTATTTGCATCAATACATGTTAGGAATTAGAAAATATATTTTAAAAGATAATCCAGATACCTTAAATAATGCCCGTAGTCGTTTATGCAGGCAAGTCCCAATTTCATATATTCTTATTCACATTTTCACGGTTGCAAGATAAACGCTGAGCAAGGGAAATAAATCGATCATTAATATATTACAGATTGTACTGGATGGATAAATTAACCAAATTATTCAGTATATTCGTATTATTAGAAATGATGCTGATATGCTGGAATGCGGTGATATCATCAAGAAACTATACGAAAACTTTTGAATCGTAATTTGTGCGATTTTAAAAGCGCTGCAAAAACATTGCGGAAAAAAATATATTTTTGAAAAGGGACATATTTTGACTGTTGTTTAACAATAAACGGTTTAAACAAATCAGCAACAAGATTGAAAAAAAAATTGAAGTGCTTTATTTAATTGAAGTGGCTTAAGATATAAAGGATTTTTGAGTTGCTCATTACATATGTTATTAACACACACACACATACACACACAGCACACAGCATACACACATTTTTCTTTAATATTGCATCAATAATCTTGCATTAAGTTTTGTTTTTTATGCATTTTTGTTGTACTTATAATGATAGAGGGTTGAATATTGAAGGGATATTAACTACCCGTAAAACCGCTTATGGGCACAAATGAAAAAATACGGGTCAAATATTTTTAGTAGTTCTACATTTGTACCAAATTTGAAAAAAATCGGAATGTAACACTTGGGTAGGTTTCCTCGTAAGTAGAGAGATAGGACAATGCTATAACAATAATTATAATTAAAATTAATTATGAATATAAGGCGCATTTAATAAGTGCAAAGTATTTCCTAATAAATGTACTGCTAAAAAAATGTGCCCGCCTTTTCTTTCTTTCATTATATCCCGAATGTTGTTATTAATGTTGTATCGAAAAGAGTCATTGCTTCCTTTGTCTGTTTCAGGAAAACGACGATTATTACACTTTCTCTCGTGGGAAAAATGTATATTCGTATTGTATATTAATTATTATAATAATATTAATAATATAATAATATGTATACATATATTTAATATTATAATAATTTATTATTA